TTTTTTATTATAAGATCGTAAGATGTAGATTATCTATAAAATGCTGTTTATATAGGGAAACAAATTGTTTAGTTCGTAAGATTTTAAGATTCGCGAGAAAGAGAGGGAGAGAGAGAATGAGAGAGTGAGCGCGAGAGTAAGAGAGAGAGAGAGAGAGAACGCAAAAGCTACACATCGCAACCATAAGTTGTGGGCTTGCGGAAGGGATGCACGAAGAATGGAGAAGACTCTATTAGTCCTATCGTGAATGTACTATTAAAAAAAAAAGATGTAATGAAGAGTTAAAAAGTATTCTTAAAGATCAATTGCATTGTATTCATTTCACGTGCAATTAAGCCGCGTCCGAGATTATAGATAGGCTACCGTTTATGTCAAATTCACTCACACACACGAATGTCTCTGTAAGAAAGAGCGAGCGAGAGAGGAGAAGAAGAGAGAGAGAGAGAGAAAGAGAGAGAGAGACCGTCCTCTCCGTCTGGACTTTCCACGGCATTTACCATATTATGGTGAAGTTTGATTTCGAATCATTGTTACAAGCATAAAAGGCTCTGTAATAAATTTACCTTGTAACTCTTTCCACCTGCGATGTCACTTTCAGGCGTTGGTAAGGAGGGGTTTGAAAAAAGGACCGCAATATATATTAGTCTCTAAAACGAGAAAAAAGAGAACGATATATTTTCCTTTATATCTATATCAAGATTATTTCGTCGAGAAATTTCGGAAAGAAAGTGCGAAACGCGCATTAAAATGAGGACTAACAATATTTCTCGTGTAAAGACATTGAAATATAAAAGCAAGTTGAATAATACGTCACATCGTTGATTTGAGGAACATGTATATATATATACATATATATATATGTATATATATGTATGTATTGTTAGTTACGTATTATTAATACGTTCCATAGCGAGTTATCTTACAAATATGATCTCACAATAGCTGATAATTATATTATACTTTCAAAGTTAAAAACGGACGATCCAAACGATCCAACCGAGCCGCCGCGCCGTGATAACGAGAAAGGATAAGGAGATCAATTCGATAAACTGTTGCTGCGTGAAGTACGCGATTCCCTTTGTTGTTTAAACGAGAGATGTGGAAAGTCTTAAAAAATAATGGTATTTGTTAATATGCGCGTGTAAAAAATACTTCTATATAAAATACATTGTTTCTTTGTATGTCATATCAAAATTTTAAGGATCCAATAAGGATGGATTCAAGTAGAAATTCCTATTCTCATGCCGTTTTCTTCTCGACAGATACAAATCTACAATCCTTCTCATTGTTGTAAAAAAATAACGAAAAAAAGTATTACGGTAACAATGATATAACGAATAAATTTTTGCAGATTTTGTGCGTTAAACTGACAATAGATTCCTGTAATCAGTAAATTGCATTAACTGATAAAAGTATATTTATATCTGAAATTAAATATATAATTATCTGAAACTTTTCAGACGGATAAAATTGGTACTTGTGCAAAAAAAGTAAGTTTCTTTCATCGCTTCGGTTTATTTTCGTGGACGTGCGTCTGTAATCTCTTATCAGCCATTACGCTTGCGTTGCAAACACAAATCGGTATTCGTAATTGAATTATCGTTCGCTCGACACTTCCCGTCGCGTCCCGCGAAATTAATTAGATTGATTTGCCACTTTTGATTAAGTTATCAATCGGCATTCACGATGACGAAAAGAAAGAAAAGACTAAACTCGGAAGGAGAACTTGAGAAATATCAAATTTCGCTTGCAAACACAAGCAGATTATATCAAACATAAAGCATAAGTGATGCGCACGACGCTGTATTGCAGATTAATTCGGTAATAGGCGCATTTGACGTATAAATCGAATGTTTATTGTGAAAAATTGAAATGATTTGTCTTTTTTTTTTTTTTAATACTTAAGCACTATATAAATATAGATGTGCAAAATTAAACAACTTGCCAATCGACTTAAAAGTTTATTAAAATCCGTCTGAGATTAATTTTGCATCAATTTATATTGAAATGTCTCTTCTATTTCTATCAGATCAGACGTTATCGTTTATCGTGCCATTTTTATTCGGAGAAGACCGCTTTTCAGTTTTCGACAACGAGCACCATCACATACGCTTATTATCGAACGATCTGTATATTTAAATTTCGCTATACTCGTTGGCTATAATATCGACGTAATCACGTCATGTTCATGATATATCAACGAGCGGAAAATTGCAGCTTACACGCGGTTCATGTAATAACGTGTAACAATTGTATCCCCGTTATGTAACAAAAGCCGTTCACTAATCCACATTTATGCTATAGAAAGATTACGAGATCTCGCAACTACTATTTTGAATACTACCGTAATTCGCCTATAAACGGATCCGCTTTATTTTTTTCTCTCACTGGTAGTTTGTAGACCTTATGATTAAGGAACGCGAGGTACAAAGGAGAACCAGTGACGTTTAATTAATTTATAAAAAAAAAGAAAAAAAACAAACAAAAGAAGGGAAAGGAAAAAAGGAACTTATATACAGCGACACACGCCGCGTCAAGAATGTAAATCGACATTCTTTGTGTAATTGTAATGTAAACGTAAACACCAGCCAGAATTCACGCAATATGTCCCTAATCAATGTTCACATACGAAGATTGAAAGAAATGTATAAAGCTATGTAGTATTATAAAGAAACGAGTATGTATAATTTATTCCTTGTGCTTTAACATATCGAGATTCACCCGGCATCGTCACACTTGCTTTTCATTCTCAAGGCGATCATTATGCAGAATAATTATACTCTTCAAAAGTAATCACGTTCAAGCCGTATCATGCAGATATTTTTATAGATAGCGATTATTTATAATGCAATAACGGGATACCGAATAAAAACCTACAATTGAGTCCCACAAAATAAAATAAAATAGTGGGACAATATTGACATACAATCACTTAATTATAACTTCTCTCAAATATAAAATTGTTCACCAATCTTTCAACAAAATTGCTACACGTTTATTATTGTCAAAATTTATATTTATTTTAATTAAAATAGGATATTGATACTCTTATTCCGTTCTTAGATCACTCTGTATTTTCTTGTATTTATCAAAATATCATACTTATTATTGCAGAAAAAAAGAGCAAAAGGTGATAATTTGAAAATTGTGAATAAATGAGATTAAAATTTTTATAAAACTATTGGCTACTACATTTTTTCCGCAGAGTATTTTAAATGTGAATGGAGGTGTGCAAACGCATAATTCTCCAGTTTGGATTGTTTTTCAGTGAAGTATATAAACCGATTTAAATATGCTACTTTCGACAAAACAAATTGCAGACATTAAACTGCTCTTTTTTTTTATCTTTGGCAAACAAGGTACGTAAGAAATGTTTAAGTGGTCATGCTCTAAAACTTGACTGACCTGATTTACATCCACACATATTCTGTCATCTCATTCATTTTAAATACGCATTATTTAAAGGTTTAGAAATTTAGATTCCAAATACATGTAACTTTCCTTTTTTACAGTATTAAATTAATAGTATTTTGACCAATTCAGAATTTATTTTCTTTCAATAAAAATGTCAGTTTATCTAATATTTTGAATAATTAACTTGACTGAAGCAAAAAAAAGCTTTCAGAGTTTCAGAAAGTAAAATCATATTTATGTAAAGTGAGCTTTATATCAATCAAAATAATATTAAACAGATTTGTTATAGGAGAATGTATTGCATATATTGCATATAATGCAATAATATATGGAAACATAATATATATGTGGAACAATAAAGAGAATACAGATTTTTATACTATACATTTATTGATCCAGGAACACAGTGAATGGATCCATTGGTGTGTATCACTGGATACATATCATAAATAATGGTTTTAATATAATTTCCAACCTATCTTTCATCTAGAGTATTTATGCGCCCTTATTCTTGCTATAATTCTTGAAATTAGGTGCAAAGTACATGGGTGATATCAGTATCGCTCCAGCGATACAAAGGAAAGCGCCTATTTTTTCCTAAAAAAAACATAAATTATCATCAATAAACATTATCGTTTAATACTCGTTTAAAACTAATACATATGAAGTGATAATCAAGAGTGTTGCAAACCATGAAAATATGTTAAACATTTTTATCAATTTTCTACTATATTTTTATTACATATTTTTTCTAACGTCTTTCCACAGCCAAATAAATTCTTATTATAGTTGTATCAAAGTGTAACAAATATATTTTTCAGTTTTTTACGCTTTATTAAGAGGTTAACTACGTATTGGATTTCTTACGTAACTCCACATATAAATGAAATTTTACTCACAGCGCTTGACATTTTCACTTCGGGCGGCGCACTAACAATCGAATTGTGATATGACCTAGCCACAATCCCCGATAAACGGGATGTGTTTCTTAATCCGTTGATCGCAAACATTTTCACTTTAATCGTTCGTAATTTTCACGAACGATACAATCGAATACAATGTAGTGCAGTAGTGCTGCTGTCTATCGTAATATCGTTGTGCAAGGATTTAAAGTCGATTTACAAGATGCGATTATTTGCGATAAGTGATTTAACATTTAAGGTATATTCACACAAACTTGCCTAGCGCATACGCATATAACATTCTCTAGACATATTTATGTGGAAAATTTATATCGCATGTACGAGATTTAATTTAAAAAATATTTTATATAAACTATGTGGAACGCAATATTTGTTTCCAAAGAATCAGTTTTCTTATTTGACATTAAATATCCGATGACAGACTGAATTGCGAATGTGTGCCGTATTTGGCGTCACTGAACGTAGTGTGAATCTTGCTTAATCTGCCATAACCACAATCTAACCTATTTTAATCCATCTACATCTCATTTATGTTTACAAACATGATTTGTCAATTATTCTATTTCTCTTGATTTAAAAAATATTTTAACGGTAAGAAATGACAAAAGTAATGATAAAATATTTCTCGTTCTTTATCCTTGATAGGACTAAGATAATTCTTATAGTAAGGAATATTTTTTAACAAATATTCCTTACTATTTTATTGAATATAAAAATATTGTTAATTATTGTGTGAAGAAAAACATTATACATTTCATATTATAAAAGTTTTAGAACATATAATTGTTACGGAGTAAACAATATTGTTTGTAAAGTACAGCTTGGCATATTTTTCTTTAAAGGAGAAAAAATGGATATTGCTAGTCTAACTCCTCAAGATTTACAAAGAAAACTCTATTTTCTGGTGGAACAATTGCAACATATGGCTGGAGAGCTTCCACCGAAGTATCAGATGCGACTGCCATATGAATTACTATCTGGATTGGCAAACTCATTATTGAACGATACCATCTTTGAGATAGTGAAAGGATTGATGGAGATACAGCATGTCACTGAAAAACATCTCTTTCAACAACGACTTCAGCTTTTGAATCAACAGAAAATTGAGTCTCAAGAGGCATTGTCTGCAGTAACTGTAGAAGAAGAAATAACGACAATAAAAACAGCGCTGAATAAAAAACACAAGGAAGAGTTGAAGCAAATGGATATGAAATTGGTATTGCAATTAGATCAAAAAGTGGCGGATCAACAAAGTATATTAGAAAAAGCTGGAGTACCTGGATTCTATGTGACAAATAATCCAATGGAGATTCAAGTGCAAATGAGACTATGTGACTTTATTATCAGGTTGAGCAACATGGACATACCGAGTTGATTCATGTATATAATTATTTATTATATAATATCAAATCATTCTGCTGCATTTCTTTTCTATCCCACAGAAAGCATTTGTCATTATTATTACAGTTACTATTTATTATTTAATATTAAACTTTGAAGACCAAAAATTCATTGTAAAGTATTTTATTTAATTCACTAATTCTCTTTGTACAAATAGTTCTATTTTTCTCATATATTTTACTATATTAACAAATTATATAATTATTACTAAGTCTAATGTAATCAGTGTGTATATTTTTCTTCAAAATAGAAAAATATTTTTGATACTTAAACGGAAAAATGCGAGTTGCATGGAAAATGAACGTTCATGTTTCCCAGATTTCACCATTTATTATAATAAATAATAAAAATATAATGGCCATTCTTACAAATGTAACAAAACATTTTTCTTTATTAACAGCAGAAAATTGATAATTTTCTCTCTTAAGCTTACAAGTTATGCTATTCAGTTATATACACATATTTTATGAAGAATCGTTAGTAATTGTTCTAGAATACTATTACTCGGTTCATTATAACATTTGTTATTTACAAATATCCAAATGTATTTGCTAAATTGAAGAATTATTCATGTTTTTAGATTTTCACAAAATGTGTTTTTTAACAAAATTTAAAAAATTATATTATTGATATCGTGAAAAATAATATATTCCCATTTTCACTTTTTTTTAAAATAACATAAATTGTTTTTAATTATTGTAGACATATTGTACACAGGAAACAAGATAATCTGTCGGTAAAATATTCTCTATCCAAATGTTGGTTGCGTAGATGAAACATGAGTAGTAACTGGTTTATCAGATCGGAAAGATTCGGTCTCTTTTGCTTGCGCGAAACAAATACGATAAACATCATCGAACGTCGTAGCAAAGTGTACTTCTAAACCGTCCGTGATATATTTTGGTAAGTCGTTAAAATCCTTCTTGTTTTCTTCCGGTAAAATTATACATTTAACATCGACCCGCTTTGCCTGAAAATAAAAATGCGTTTTGAACGAAGCAAAATTATTTCATAATCTGGAAGTAGATGATAATGGTAGTTTAAGAAACTAAAATGATGAATAAATAGCAATTTAAATAAAAAATAATATTAACTTAACCGCACATAATATTAGGCTGATACTATTATTCAATGATAACAACAGCAAGAGAAAGCGAGATTAATTAATATTAATAAGAAACAAAAACTGATTATAATAGGAAATTATATTTAAAACTTACTGCAATGGTTTTCTCCTTAATACCACCTACAGGAAGTACCTTGCCCATGAGACTCAGTTCACCCGTCATCGCCACATCTTGTCTAATAGCTTGATTTTTAGCAAGCGAGAGCAACGCCGTAGCGATCGTTACACCCGCGCTGGGCCCGTCCTTCGGTGTAGCGCCCTCTGGCACATGTATATGTAAATGTGAATCGTACAAAAACGTATTAGAAGAATCCTCTCTTTTCAGGTAATTTCTTGCCACGGTCATCGCGATGTGTATGGACTCCTTCATCACATCGCCCAGATGACCGGTGACTTCGAAAGTACCCTCCGCTTTTTTGCCGCTCGTCGGTTTTCTCATAGTGGTCTCGATGAAGAGTGTGGATCCGCCCATCGCGGTCCACGCCAGTCCCATCACCACACCAGCGGGCGTGATGTCGTACATCCTGTCCTGCGTGAACACAGGCTTGCCCACGAACTCGTGCAAATTATTCGCGGTTACGTCGACTTTGTCGGCTTCCTTCTTGACGACCTTGAACGCCACCTTCCTGTGCACCTTCTCTATGTGTTTCTGCAAGCTCCTCACCCCCGATTCCCGACAGTAAGATTTGATCAACGACGTAAGCGCCTCGTCCTGTATGCTGATTTGATCATTGCTGAGGCCGGACTCGGTTCTGGCCTGTGGAACCAAGTACTGCTTCGCGATAGCCAGTTTCTCTTCGGCTACGTAACCCGACATGTCTATCAGCTCCATACGATCTCTCAGGGGTTCCGGAATGGTATCTATTACATTTGCCGTGCAAATGAATAAAACTTTCGACAAATCCACTGGAACGTCCAAATAGTGATCTAGGAAATTTGCATTCTGCTCTGGATCGAGCATTTCGAGTAGTGCGGATGCTGGATCTCCTTGATGGCCCCTAAAATATATATTATTATATGATGCTTAACATAATAATAAGAAACAAAGAAATCTAATATATATTTTTTAAACATTCCTCAACTTTGTATGTTTTGCAGTAAGATGTAATATTTATATAACTTTGAGACATTGTATGTTCTGCATATAATACGAAGTGTACGCAAATTTAGATCACATACTTGCCGATTTTGTCAACTTCGTCTATTAGAATTAACGGATTCTCAGTTTTAGTTTTCTTCAAGCACTGGATAACTTTGCCCGGCATAGCTCCCACATACGTTCGCCTATGCCCCTTGATCTCCGCCACGTCCGTCATTCCGCCGACACTAAATCTAAAGTATTCTCTGTTTAAGGCGCGAGAAATTGACTTGGCTATAGATGTCTTGCCCACTCCAGGAGGGCCGTGAAAGCATAATATCTTTCCTTGCGTGCTACCTTTCAGTTGACTGACAGCGATGAACTCTGCAATATAAAGCGTGATATTCATATTGTTTAAACATTATCTGTAGATATACATAAACGTATTTATACCAAGAATTCTTTTCTTTATGTCTTCCATTCCATAATGATCTTCGTCCAGAATTTTGACAGCATCCTGAAGATTTAAATTCTCCGTACTTGTTAAACCCCACGGCATGGACGTAAGCCAGTCTAAGTAATTCCTCGTAACACTAAACAAAAATACAAAATTAAATGGCATTTATAGAACTTAATAGCGTGCAATTTCTGCGATATAATAAACGCTGATATTCCATACGCACTTAAATTCGCTACTGTGACTTTCCAAGAAGGACAGTTTATTCAATTCCTCTTCTAACACGTCCATCACTGGTTTAGGAACCGTCTTCTGCCTTATTCTTTCTCTGTATTTCTCTTCTATCGCGTCTTTGTCGTCTTTCTCTAATCCTAGTTCCTTCTTAATGACTTTCAATTGTTCATGGAGAATATATTTTCTATGTTGCTGTTTTACCTTCTCTTCAACCTCTTTTCCGATTTTCTGTTGCAACTTGCTTAATTCGTATTCTTTTTTTAGAAGCGCAAGCGACAGTCTCAATCGTTTTAAAATCTATAAATAAAATGCCATTTCTTTTGTTGATCCTTTACGAGCCTTTCCTGAAAACTTTATGTACATCAAAGTAAGCAGTGCACTTACATCCATCTCTTCTAAAACCTGCTGCAATTCCTGTGCATCTGCACCGGTTAAAGCAGCACCCAAATCACTAAGATAAACGGGATTATCTACAACTCTTTGTCCTTGATGCAGCATTTGTTGCAGAGATTCACGATATAAAGGATTCATGCTGATTATATCTCGAATAGTCTTAATAAGTTCCTGTGTCAAAGCCTATTTAAAAAAAAAATTTCAATTTATTGAACAGTGCCAAACATTCTCAAAAGCAACTATCCTCAAAATAATGCAGTCAGTTTCTGTCTTGTTACAAAAATAAAAATTTGAAACAAAAAAAAGACGGAAAGAAAATCTGTTATATTAATTTTAATTTAATGATATTGCAAATCTTTTCAATATTTACATCCAATAACATTATATATTACCTTAATTTCTTCAGTTTGCTTAAATTTTTCATGTGTAACATTTACTACTTCGACCATTAGTATAGGTTGACTATTAGACTGAGTTGTTGACGCATCTAATGGTTTCTCTGTACTTTTCTCAGGCGAATCTGCCGGCGGCTTTTCTTCTATAGAACTTGTCTCACTGACTTTTTCTGTTTTCACAGTTTGCTCTGCAGCTTTATTCTCTGTTTTCTTGCGCAATGATCTCCGGCTTATCTTGCCACTGGTAACTGTATCGTCTACGGGGACGGTAATTGTAGTATTTAATAGCGGAAACGTCAGTTTCATCTCTGTGTAAAGTAGGGTGATATTTAAACAAAACATCGAAAGACTCAAACAAGAAAAAAATTTCAAACAAGAAAAAAATTATTTGATTGATTAATGTTAGTTAGCTAAACGTTAAATTTCTATAAAATTTCAATAATTATTTAAATAATAATAATAAATATACAGCATGATTACAGTAGCTAGCATGCAAAAGTGTAATATCTAAATACTTTTTTCTTCATGTTCTGGCTTTAGATTGGCATCCTCGAATATTTGATTAACAATTTTAATTCTTCGATGTGCCATAATTACTAGTCTTAACCGGTTTCCGAGATCCTGCACTTCATGCACTTGGGCAAATGTTCCAATGGAATAAATGTCATCTAAGTTTTGAACTATTTCAGCTTCATTCCTGAATACATATATACATATAATTAAAATTTATATTATTGATATATATCATTAAGTTGGAGAACACTTAAGAAAACTTACTCTTCAGTTTTCTTCAAGAATACTCCCACATAAGGTTGATTTAGCTTTATCTTTCTACGTATTAAATCAATCAATATCGGATTGCTAATTTCAATGAGTTTAATAAATCTAGGAAACACTGGATTTCTATTGATAGCGATGACCGGTACATGAGGCCATACTTCAGGTACCACGACAGTTGCAGGTAGAGAAGCAGGATAATCTGCTGGCTGTTCTCCATTGCCGTCACTAAACAACAATGCATATTAAATAAGAGAAAATACTTTCTTGCATCTGATAAACAAATTCTGATAATCAATGCAACCATTTATAACTGTTTTTCTTTATAACAGTACTTATAATTGTGTAAGAATATTAAAAACGTTAATATCAAGAATAATAAAAATAGATATGAGAGATATAGGAATAGACAACTATTAATCGATTAAGTAAATTAAGAAAAGTATAAAACATAAACTATTGCCAAAATAAAATTAATCAAGACAGACAAATAAAGTAAAATTTAAATAAATTAAATTTAAATAAGTTAAAAAATCAATAAAATTGATTAAAATAAGAAAATTAAAATTATTTTACCTCGGAGGATCAGAATATCTTTTCGTTGCGAAGAATCTCACTGACACCACCGCAGGATGAATTCGTCGTCCGCGTATGTTCCTCAATAATAATTCTGATTTTTCACCTAAATAATTGGATCTTGCTAGTTGCGATCTAATGCAAATCGGCGACGATGTTTGATTAACCGGACTGAAATTATTTTTGCAGAAGGAACGCGCGATCATGCCGCGCTGCCGTAAAATTGGCAGCAATTTAACGTTCACTGTCGTCATGAGTCGCATGATCCTCCAAAATCGTTTTGAATTTTCATAAACTCTATCCTTTCCTGGCTGTTGATGAAAAACAGAAACACAATGAAAAAAAGAGGTTACGACACGCTCTCACGAAATACACCGCGATCTTGCATGCACGATTCAATATAACCTAACCTAACCTAACTTCAAAGCATCTGTCTGCCTTTTTAACCGCATCACATGTATATGTTGTATTTTCTACATTAAACTGAAATAAATGTATACTCCCACTCTATACGAGAAAAAGGAGAAGAGAAAAACATTGTGAGAAAGTACAAGAGATATAATTAGAATGGATTAGTTTACATTGTGAAAATACACAAAATATTGGACGATTGCGTTGTGTGGCGAAAAAAAAGCGAAATTTTAATTAAAGTAGAACAATTAAAATTGAGATTATGATTATTAATGAATACATGAGTGAATGCTAATATTTGACGTACTTACATTTTTTTTTAAATTCGAAGATTTATTCTACTTTGATACATGTACATACATGTGTAAATGATAAATGTTGATAATACGATAGGGCAGATAAGCTCTTCATTTATAGAATTACAGTGACTGTCGAGATCTCATTCTCATCACGTGATTATCCAGCATGTTGCAGCAGAAAAAAGGAGCTCTTAAGCAATTCTGCAACTGTAAAATCCTGCGCGACGGCAGGATCCGAACAGAAGATCTATGGGTGCGTGATGGAAAAATTGTGAACCCGGAGAAAATTTTCTACGATGAGAAAGTCAAGCCAGATGTTATGATAGATTGTGGCACCGCCTTGATCTCGCCAGGATTTATTGATCTGCAAATTAATGGTATTTAATTACATTATTACAAAGTAAAATTATAAAGAATTATAAATAGAGGAAAAATGCTAGAAAAAATAGAAAAATAAATTTTATTGAATGCCAGAAATGGAAAGTTTAAGTTCAATTGTTAAAGAAAATACTATGGGTTTTGTAATATTTGAAAAAAGTTCATACTTGCTTAAATAAATAAGTGAAATAAATAGATACATGGATTTGTTCATTAGGAGGATTTGGCATAGATTTTTCTTATAACGTTGACAATGTAAAGGAAGGCATTGACAAAGTAGCAAAGAACCTGCTGAAATATGGAGTCACATCCTTTTGTCCTACATTGGTGACATCTCCCAGTGAAGTATATCATAAAGTACTGCCAGAAATAAAGAAGAGAAATGGAGGTAGCCACGGTGCTGGTATACTGGGTGTTCATGTAGAAGGACCGTTCATCAGCCCAAGCAAAAAAGGCGCTCATCCGGAACATTGTATTAGAAAATTTGACCAGGCAATGTTATAACTGATTCTGTTCTGAGTAAATCTGAAAATTATTTAATCCATTGCTTAACATCTCCTAATAACTGTACTGTACTGCAGGGATTTAAATCGGTTGTAGATATGTATGGAGATCTAGACAATGTGTGCATGCTTACATTAGCACCTGAAATTCCAAATGCTACATCTGTCGTTGAAGACTTGTGTAGAAAAAATATAATAGTATCTCTTGGTGAGTTAAATGATCTGAGTGACATAATGAATTATATTTAAATGCTCGTAAGTTATTTTGCCGCGAAATACCAAAGTTTAATTCTTACAGTTTGCATATTGAATGCGCTTCAGATATCCACGAAGTTCGATTTTAATTCAATTTATGTATTCTAGGACATTCCGTAGCAAACTTAAGCGAAGGAGAAAAAGCAGTTAAACATGGAGCGTCATTTATCACTCATCTTTTCAATGCTATGTTGCCTGTAAGTTATATAAATTGTATTGCATCACATATCTTTTATAATTAATCTATATGTCTTGAAAATACATTTGCTCGTGTATTTTCTGATTTTAGTTCCATCATAGAGATCCAGGATTAGTTGGCCTCCTAACATCCGACCAAATCCCTCCTGGAAAAATGGTTCATTTCGGAATAATCGCAGACGGGATCCACACTCATCCGGCAGCATTGCGAATCGCTCATAGAACGCATCCTCAAGGTTCACATTTAATTATATGTAGTTATACATTTATGACAATTTTTGAGTGAAATTAAAATGTAAGTGTTTGTAAGGTCTCGTGCTTGTAACTGACGCGATATCAGCACTGGGTTTGGAGGAAGGAATCCATCAACTGGGCCAGTTCGAAATAGAGATACGTAAAGAGTCTGCTTACATCGCTGGAACAGATACTCTCTGCGGTAGCACGACCGAAATGCCGAAATGTGTGAGACATTTTAAAGAAGCTACAGGTAAATTTTGTATTATAATAAAACAAATGTTGTGTGTTAATATAAATGTGTTAAGACACAATATACTGAACGTATTATATTTGACAGTTATGTCCATGTTCAGTGCGGAACTAATGTATGTAATATTTAGTTTATTATAATTGTTCTCTTTATGTAGGTTGCACGGTAGTCGAGGCTCTAGAAGCAGCAACTTTGCATCCTGCGAGAGCCCTCGGTATTGATGCGAACAAAGGTGTGCTTAATTTTGGGGCCGATGCCGATTTTATATTACTTGATAAGAAGTTGGAACTGCTGTCAACGTGGATTTTAGGAGAATGCGTTTATGAAAAGAATATCGGCAGTATAAAAGAATTAAAGGTACAAGCACAGATCAATTATTACATTAAATAACTGAACATTCCGTGCCTTGAGTTGGCCATTGTATCAATTGATAGTGAATGACTTATAATAATGCAACGAAGAGTTTTAAACTTTTTTCAAAGGGAATTTTTGTACACTAAGACTTTTATATATTTGTACTTAGTTGTATATTCTGAAATAGATGCCTAATATTTTCTATAAAAAGAAATTTATATTTTATATAAAATTATATATATATATATAAACAAGACTTTATTTCTATAATTTTTGTAAATATTAATCTATTAATAATATGTAAATTTATAGACATGACGATCGTGCCATATAAAAATTAAAATGTATTTCATAGTATTTTTATGCATTCTTTTTTACTGAAATGTATATGTAAAATGTAACAATAAGTGTGCAAATATTTTTATAAGAGTTTTTGTGCTCTTTATCTGTAATTCTAGTTGCCTTTCCTTGCATTGATTATTGCACCCGTTTTTAAACATAAAAAGAAGAAAGAAATAAAAATTGATTTAATAATAATTTTATGATATTCGGGAAATATTTTAAAACAAAGGATGTGGTATTGTTACACTGCAGCAAATGATTAATTTCAAGACTGCAATTTGTATACTTAAAAATTTTATATTAATGTATACATAAAGTTTCATTACATTAGCTCCAGTGCAATGAATCAAATATCAATTGAGTATTAGATTCTCTAATTAATATTGAAACGTTTCATCTCAAATAAAAAGCACCATACTGCGTTACTTTACAGTGATTTTAATTATGCGTTTGAAGTATCTTGCCTTGCGGTATTATAATATATTCGCACATAATATATCTTGACTTAATCCACTTTGCCCGATATATTCTTTACGGAATTAGCAGTAGTTAATAAAGTAAAGCAAAAAGAAACGAAATAGAAAAGAAAAAGAAACTAAATTTGACTGTTTCTAAAACTTATTAATCGCTAATGTCAGACAATCAAAAGCAAGCTTCTTATTTGATAAATTTCTTGTCACTAAAATAGACGAATTAATAAACCGCGTCCTTCATATTGCAAATGTATGGCGAGTGCCTGATGCCGAATGTATGCGCAGGAGGAACATCGAGAAGCACCTAAAAATACAATAACGATTACGCTAATTAATTATACGTCCGTTTAATCGTCATTCGGTTACATTTATATTATCGGATATTAGATTCTCTGCTTTCTCCAACATTTTAATATTTATTTTATGTATCTGTTATATCTTACAAATACTGTGCTTCATGTATTTCGTACATCTTAGTGCACTTTATGTTTTCTCTACGCGATACCTTTTCCGGACAGTGCGCTCCAGGCCCCGGGATCTGCGAGTGATCGTCGGGTAGCGGGAAACGCGCGCTTATGCTGTACGCCGGGCTCTTCGCTCTCACCGCGTCCGGCTTGATGGCCTCGTACGCGCCCGGTCCAGGCACGAGGACACGGTCGTCCGTAAAGACTCTCTGTCTGCCGGATATGGAATAAGCGGGCGCCGCTTTCTTGTTACCCTCCCTGGTCCCGCCGAGGGCGGAGCGGATGTTATAGATATTAGGTGCTGAAATTCGATTGATCTATTTCCTCAGAAATTCACGCGCGTTCGATTAGATCTACGATCTTATTAACAATTTTCATCCACCATTTACGTCGTATTCCTTTCTTTTTTTTTTTCACACGTTTACGAGTTTGTCGGATATATCTTCCCGAGAAATTGCATCTCTGATGAGAATTCGCGTCTTATTAAATGCGAAAGGGTGGGGGAATAAATTGATGAATTAAAAAATGATGAAAAATAAAAAGACACAGCGGTAACTACAGCTAATTACTGCGACAAAACTAATGGTTGCGTTTCTGTGCCATTCTATGCGCGTCAATGTGTGCGATTAAAATTGCTATGAAGTGACATGCCTTGTAACATGCAATATCTCACGTTTACCGCACATTTTCTAAACCGATGCAGCGGATTGATTATTTACCTGGAACGTCGTTTGGTCTGCTCACGGGTGTTCTGAGGCCGAAAGTAAATTGCAACGCTTTCTCCAACAAAAGCATCGCCTTTTCTGGACTGTACTCGCCAGGTCCTGAAACATTGCCATTAAAAAACAAATCAGAAATTGTAATCAAGGATAAATAATGACTAAAAATAAAGACGGATAGACGTCAAGAATTGAGATCTGCTTTTCAGAACATAATTAGGATTTTTGAAGCGACAATAGTGAGCATAAAATGCGCGCGCACCTGGTAGAGCATTCTTCTCTTCGATTTTGGTTTTAACGCCGAAACTGTATTCCGGCGATTTCGACATGTTCACTTTCTCGGGACAGTACGTTCCGGGAGCTGCAAGTGAACGATAAGATACTTTTGCATTCTTGAAGGATATCGATTACCACACTTATTCTGCGCTACCAGACATCACAATATTACGATACATATTTAAAGAAAAGTCACATAATAGTCACACATTTGTTACACAATCATATTTTTCAACAATTTAACGTATGAGCTAAAAAAATGTTACACAGAAAGTCGAAGCACACTGACGAAGGTTTCACACATCGATGGAGACCACAGAATCTTATATTCGTGGATATTATTGTTTATTTCGTTCTTTCTCTGTTTTACACGTATTTGTTAGTATTAATAACATTGGACACCATTATTTTTTCCGTAGTCGGTTAACGGGACTGCGAAAGCGTTTAATATACCCACGACATGCTACTTCAAGTTCGTGTAAAATTATTCGCAGTTAACATTAACGTTCCGTTAATTTACACCGATTACCTGGTGCGTCACTAAGCTTATGCAAGGGCTTTCTGTTACTGAAACTGAAATATGGTTTATGTTCCAAGTGCTGAGCTTTCTCTGGGTTGTAACTACCAGGCCCTATCGGAGTAATGAAGAATTAATATTGTTCTGTTGCACTAGTCATTCGTTTGTATTCAATTCATCGTTTGAAGAACAGTTCTTCGACAGTTCAACACCGTTACCTGGTGTATCGCGCGGCTTATGGAAAGGTTCTCTATGACCAAAACCGAAATAAGGTTTATGTTCCAGACTCAGAGCTTTCTGCGGAGTATAATCGGCAGGGCCTATCGAAAGCAATCAGAAATTAATGCCCATTCTCTCTCTCTCTCTCTCTCTCTCTTACTTCTTTCCATCTATCGTCCGCTGAGAAAATGATCAGTAAAAATGTAGCGTTAGTTTTGGATTAGTCCACACCGTTACCTGGTGTATCCCTAGGTTTATCCAAAGGTTTCCTATCACCAAAACTGAAATATGGTTTATGTTCCAGATTTAGAGCTTTCTCTGGTTTGTAATCAGCGGGGCCTATAGGCGAGGCAATCAGAGAAATTAATGTTGTCTATTGTCTAATCATTCGTTCTTTCGCGTGTTGACGGCACGTCGAAGAGATACGTGTCCCGGAATAAGTTTATCGATGCGCGGCACCCACCTGGATTGTCGTTCAACTTTTCCGCCGCCCCTTTTCCGGTCAGACTGTACCGCGGCCCTTTGTCCAAATTCACCTTCTCGGGGCTATACGTACCGGGTGCTGCGATAACACGTGTTAAAACATGAGTGCCGATGATGATATCGCAATCGGGCTCGGTAAAAATGTCCAAACGTACCTGGAACGTCGTCGGGCTTCAAATCGAATCCTTTGCCGGTCAAACTGTACTGCGGCCCTTTGCTCAGATTTATCTTCTCGGGACTGTAAGCCCCAGGTGCTGCACGACGGAAAGAAACGTGCAATCAACACGCAACAAACTTGCGGCCAAGTTTATTTGGCTGTGATAAATAAATTAAGTAAGCTACCTGGCGTATTGTTAGGTTTGTCCAAAGGTGTTCGGAGTCCGAAACTGTATTTCGGTGCAGCGTCCAATTTCACTTTCTCGGGCGAGTACGCGCCGGGTGCTGAAAATCTCGCTGTCATATCATTGTATCTACAAAAATCTATGGTATTTTGCAATTTTACATACCTGGTGTATCGACAGGTTTCTCGGCGGGTCCTTTGCCAAACAAACTGTACTGCGGTCCTTTATTCAGATTTACCTTCTCCGGACTGTAAGCGTCCGGTGCTGCGAGGTAAAAATAGACACGTGTAATAATCGCGCTGTTGATGCTGCGAGAATGACGTATTAATTACCTGGCGTGTCACTGGGTTTATTTGGAGCGTGTTTAATACCAAAACTGTATTGCGGCGTATTGTCCAATCTTACTTTCTCGGGCGAATACGCTCCAGGCGCTGAAAATTGCGCACTTATATTATTGTATCCAAAAATTGCGTATTTTGACGTACACCCTTTTACACACCTGGCGTGTCAGCGGGCTTCTCAGCAGACCCTTTGCCACTCAAACTGTACTGCGGCCCTTTATCCAAATTTACCTTCTCCGGACTGTACGCTCCGGGCGCTGTGCGCGACGAAAAAATATGCACATTTATATTTAACTTATTATATTCCACGGTGCTGCAAAAATAATTCGGTCACCTGGTGTATCGCTGGGTTTATCCGAAGCGTGTTTAATTCCAAAACTGTATTGCGGCGTAGTATTCAATCTAACTTTCTCAGGAGAATATGTTCCAGGCGCTACAGTGGCATATTTGTATCACATCAATTATTATTATGTCTACAAACCACTTGTTTTATATATGCAATCTTTACAGACCTGGTGTATCCGCGGGTTTGTCGGCGGGTCCTTTGCCACTTAAGCTGTACTGCGGCCCTTTGTCTAAATTCACTTTTTCTGGACTATAAGTTCCAGGCGCTATACGAAAGAAATAAACATACATGATTATAATCTCCAACGCTACACAAAAGCATGCGTCGTATTACCTGGCGTATCACTGGGTTTGTCCAACAGAGGTCTGATTCCAAAGCTGTATTGCGGTGTGGTGTTCAATTTCACTTTTTCGGGGCAATACGTTCCAGGCGCTGAAAAATCGCATGGTCCGGAATCATAAATCCATTCAGATAATTTAGCTAAGCTCATAAGTGTCACTGAATCCTATTTACTTAACACGATACTCGCGTTCCACAACTTACGTGCTGTAAATAACAATTTATTAGATTGTACCTGGCGTGTCGACAGGTTTCTCAGCGGGACCCTTGCCGCTTAAGCTATACTGAGGTCCTTTGTTCAAATTCACTTTCTCAGGGCTGTATGTGCCGGGTGCTGAAATAGAAACATACGCACACAATACTTGAAAAGACACTCCTTATTTCTATTTGATAACAAACATTGCGCAATGTATACCTGGTGTGTCGCTCGGCTTCTCCACGGCGGGCCTTAGCCCGAAGCTGAACTGTGGCGACGAGTCTAATCTCACCTTCTCGGGGCGGTACGCACCCGGCGCTGTTAAGAGAAACAATCACCACTGAAATTTACGAGCAACCTTTTTAAGTAGGAATTCCGCATATACCTGGTGTTCCGTTGCACTTCTCCACTCGGCCTTTACCGGTCAAACTGTACTGCGGACCCTTTTCCAGGTTAACCTTCTCCGGGCTGTACGTTCCAGGCGCTACATCAAATCCAAAGTGTTAGTTCGGGAAAGATTTCAAACACACCCATCCGTCCAACTTTGAAATCTCTTTTCTCGCATTACCTGGCGTGTCGCTTGGCTTATCGAGCGGCGTTCTAAGCCCGAATGTGAACTGCGGCACGCCGTCCACTTTCGTTTTCTCCGGTTGATAAGTACCTGGAGCTAGACACTCGCTGATAAATTATACAAATTCCACTGCGCAAACGGCGATATTCTACTTGCATTACTGTCAAGTCTATTAATGGATACGGAGAGGGATATTAAGAGTACAGAGAGGAAAGGGTTTCAATATGTATCGCGGAACATGCAACAACTTGTTTTAGGGCGACAAGCGACACTACGCTATCAATTTTACATATGCGGCTACATACATTAGCTACACTGTCGATTTAGAGCGCGTTGCACATTTCTAAATACCGGATACTATATTGCAGGAATGTTTATTTACTATATTATTTATATCTCCTAGATTAATGACACAATTATTTTTAGCTACGTCCTAAATGCCACACGTGCGTAATTAATTACTGTGTAAATTTTTTTAAGAGGAAAAAGTAGAATTTTAGAAGTAGAAATTATTTCTACTGCAATCTAATATACCATACCGATAATAATATACCATACTGTAAGATTTACAAGAGTGTGCGTAAACATTTTAGGGTTTATTACGCTTTTAGGTCGCTAAATTACGTGAGTTTCTATTTATTACGTTAAAAAAAACCACGTCTGTACCTAAGCAGCGATTCTCTTCGGCGATTATCGTTTCGAATATCGTTTTTCGAAGCGGTACTCCTCAAATAAAGTCCCATGGTTAACCGCGATTGCGGTATGGCATCGATTATCCTAAACACCATTGTGTCGATATAATAATATAATGTAACAAAAAAATTCATGTGTAAGATATAAATCTGAATAATCTTAAACATAAATTGAAATGAAAAAATAATCTTTACATATTACTTTCGGAAAAATCAATATACTATCATAAATACATTGAATTTTATGCTGAAATTATGTTATTAAATAATAATTATATTAATTTTAAAAAATTTATATTAATTATATACCGCTTTATATATATATATTTCGCGTATAAACACTTAATTAATAATAAAATAAATGTTAAAAGTTAAAATATTAAAATTGTAAAAACATTTTCACAATTTGCGCTATCTCGAAATTTAATTCGCATTATCTCTGCTGAATCGTGAATTTAGAACATTAAGCAATTTTAAAGAATGTAATTTAATTTTTTGTTTGTTAATTACGAATTAATTGTAATATGTTATTGACGAATTTTGATAACATAGAATTGCGATATACTGTATTTACTTTGGCCTTCTATTGAATTTTGTATTATTACTTCGAATTTGCGGTTTTCATTAGTAACCGAAGATTAGCACATAAAATATTTGAACCGTCCTCGCATGTATTTAACTAGTTGCATAATTACCGGGCACATCACTCGGTCTTTCCAACACAGCTTTTACGCCGAAAGTGAACGCTGCTGCTCTGTAGATATTCATGATTTCAGCGTAATAGTCGTTCGGTGCTACGATCGAGATGCAATATTTATACGCTTCATTATAAATTGATTAAGAATACGATGTAAGTGGCGTTTCGATTGTTCGTTTATGTAAAATGTTTTATTAAAACTAACACTTTTTATTCATGATAGTTCTTGCGATAATCTAATTATTTTTAAATTTGTTAAACAGTTTACAGTAATTAAAGTAATAACACTAACATATTTTATTTCAGTGAATTAGAGAATAATATTTATCCATATTTACACTACAGACTAGACCTATTTATGCTATTTGCAGACTATTGTATAATTACGATGAATAATTACTGCATCTAATGCAGAAATCATAGACAAATTCGGACAAATCTGTCTCTGACTACTGCGCAGCAGTATTTATATTAATATTTATAAGAATTACGGCAGAGTATATTATAGCTCCCTGAATAAGAAATAACGTGTCTGTACAAATGTATATAATAAATTATTATGTACATATTTATGCACACATTATTATGTACATATTTTAGAAAAATAATTTAAGATTATGCTAGAATAACGTATTTTGAACAGAATAATATAAATATCTTTTTATGTGAATTAACTTATAATTTGTAATAAAAACTATTTAGGTGCAGGAAAATTTTTAGAAAAATTTTATACCGCGCGCGTGATAAAATTTTTATATACATTGTTAGAAAACTAAAATCGGTGGATCGTATTATTTGAATTTGGACTTACCAGGTGTACAGCTGATCTTCTCAACTTGCGTTTTAACGCCGAAAGAATATTTTGGCGAACTGTCCAGAATTATTTTTTGCGCTTTTTGTGGATTGTAATCGCCCGGTGCTGGTGTAATTTCGGCTTTCGTCGATTTCGTTCGTCCATGCAGCGATACGGCAGGTGCACCATCTTTGCCTAAGAGATTTTTAAACTATTACATATTACTATGTCTCTTATTTATCATTAATTAAATATTAACAATCGATATAAAGTAGTATTAATTATTAAAAGTTACAATTAACATTGAAATATTTTTGTATAACGTAAGATGATATTCAAAATTAAAATAAATTAATTTCCAATTTTAAGAATTGGAAATTTCATAAGAACATAATAATGTAAAGCTTGTAAATTAATAGAAAAAAGATGTAGAAATGAAGAGTTGAAAATTACAATAATTTAATTAGATCAAAGTATATACTTATACTATGTATTTATTTAAATCAGGTTGATTTCTAATAATTGTACACATATCGATCGCGCGAAGCGCTTTGTTCAAGCCTGAAGTAAAGGAATTTCGTGAATGCCTACCATTAAAATGTATCATTCTTATGGAATATTGGTGGTTTGGAGTTTGGTCGATACCTCGTCCGACGCATAACGGAACTTGCAAGTTCACGAAAGCAATAGCGCATATACCGTGCGGCTATCCCACTTAACGTCTTAATTATGATACTTCATTTATATTTCAAAAATTGTTTATCGTACGTTTACCTTTTGCGCTAAGTCCGGAGACGTTGTATTGTCCAGGGCCAGGTCCAGGGCTATTATTTTTCATTGAATGTCTGAAAAAATTCGAATGGAAGTAAAATAACCTTTGTAAATTAAATGAAATTAAAAAATTACGCGGGTACTTTGAGAACATAACTATAATTTTAGAAGCGCAACATAAAATTACGAATAGTCATTCCGTTAAATGAATCTGATAAAAAGTTTATTGAAATACATCGAATAAAACACTATAAAACGTTTAATTATAATATATTTAAAAATTTTTTATAGAATAATAATTAAACATTTTCGATTTAAATTATTAGATCTACCTGCTACCGAAGGAAAATGCTGGCGCTCTTTCCCGTTTAGAATCTGGAACTGTTTTTCCTGCACAATAGAAATTTTTACATTGTCATGATTATATCGCACTGATATATTATCAAAAAAATCCGATAAGCATTTTCGTATCAGTAAAAAGTATTCGAAGGCAACATTATTATTGCAACGCGGAAGTACAATCCTCCTATTAATTATAGAGTTACGCGATTGTATATGCAATTCGTAAATTATAAATGCATACTGATTAGAATGCAATTATTGAATCATGATACGATAAGTAACTGCAAAGTTTCGCCGACGTGCCTATTTTTACAACTTCGTAATTATTATACATTCGTAAGTTGAAGCAATCAACGCACATAAAATTTTCAAAGAAACCGATAAGTGTTTAATGGCATCATGTTTGCATGAAGTAAATGTAATTCGTACCGATTAACGGTGGTAAAGTTACACACGCTGGCCCCGGGCTGCTGTATTCGGCGGCAATCGGCCCTCGCCTTTTCGTGGGCGTCCAGGGTCTTTGTGTCACTCCAACCATGTTACTTGAAAAGTTTCTTTCTTCTGTCAAAAATTTTGGTAACAAAATTACGAGCATTTTACTTTAATGGGAACAAAATAGTCTATAAATTTTAACATAACTGCATTAAAATGTGTACCGCGTAGTAACAAAAATTGATCGAAAGATTTCCACGCGCCAAGTTTCAAAGCAACTTTGAAACAATTTTTTTTTTTAATTTTCTAAAGCAGAACATTTAAATTGTCGAAATGTGCGATAAAAATTGTCTCCGCCTTCGATATTTTCTTAAAAGCGCAGAATCTTTCAGGCAAGTGCAATTTCTTCTGGTAAACAACGAAACGCGTATACACGCGGCGTCCATGAATTATGCAATGAAGGTGACCTCGAAGTGTCGGGGGCACATACAGAACCGATTCATGGCAAACCATATAAGAGCATGTCCATGATGGGTAATCGCCCACCGCCCGAGTTCAGGTCCATGTCGCGAATGAATTTAAAAAGTGCCCGAATGATGATTGATAATGTTGATGATTCATGACCCACTTACGGGATAATACGGGATCACTGATGCATAAAGTGCAGTGCACTTTCTACTGAATTTGGAACAATTTCGAATAATTGAAAAATTTGCGGAATTTAAAAGACTTTCAAAATTGTGTCTTCTTCTTTTATCACATTGTAGCATTGAAATTGAGACTAGTAGCTAGACTTTATTTTTTTATCTATATGATTTAAGATTCTCTTTCTCGAGATATAAAAATTATATGTTATCTTAAAAAATAATACAAATATCCTTTTAAAATAATTATATATAAATATCTCCACTTTACTTATAAAAATTGATTTTAAAGATGTATATAACTGCATATGTAGCGGCACAGCTAGCATTGATATTAGATCATATCTTAATTTCGCGCGTCGTCATCAAAGAAAAAAAAAACCGGGGAACATTACGGAATATAATGAACGCCGCCTACAGCGCGCAAAACGTTCTATTCTAATGACTGATTGCTGATGACCACGCGAGTAGAGCCGACCAAGATTACTCACTCTTATGCCGAATTTTTTACATCATCGCCAATTACGGTATTCAATTAAAATAACTCTAAAGTAAAACAGAACAGTATCTTGCAAACAAAGCGTGTAATTAAAAAAATAATCACAAAATCTTTTAATTACAGATTAATTCATGCTACTTCTTTTACCAGATTTTTAATTCAAGTTTTGAAATTTCTCTTGTGAAAGTATAAGCGTTTAGTTAATAACTGTTAGCATCATTGATTCGTTAATTGATCATTGTATTGTAAATCTGTACAACATTGCTATTATGACGTAGAAATATTTACCAAAAGTATAAATAATATTGAGTAATTATTTGCCTCTTTTCCATATTAGCATCATATACTATATATACTTAAGTGACATCATGTAATACTTCGGCAAAAACTGTATGTTCGACTACGTACGCGTATATCCATATTAAGAAGTGTATATGTCGGTACCAGTTTATATATGTGCGTATACGTAGCATTTCATTAACCAAATACGGGAATGAAAGTAGAGTGGCAAATCTGATACATAAGAGTACACGAGAATACAAACGTACTGTGACGTCGCCAAAATTGGAGGGAGAGATTGAGAAACACGCGTAAGTACGAATCTCTCACAGAATAAACGACTCATGTAAAGAATAATAATCGCGCTTTCTTTTGCGCTTCTTGTCATTATCATTTTTAGTAGAATATTATAATAAATACAGGATAACGATAAATAATAGAAACAATAGATTGAAAAAATATGATTAGAATTAACGTTTTAAATTAATTTAATTGCAACAGATAACATTGATTTGTTTGTGAAAAATCGGATATGTCTATCGAATAGTATGCGTGAAAGATAATTGCTGCAAATTAATGTTATTATCTTCGTCACAATCCTAATATAAATGCCGCTTTCACGGCAAAGCGAGAATGTTACTTTGCTGTGTTATCTGCGAACACCGCAATAAATTATATCACACTCATCAGTAATGACACGCGACAAAAGTGTATGTTTGTACTGTTACGGCATAAATAAACTCGAAAAGAAATCTTTTTCATGTATTTTTTTTAATATTAGTAAAATATTTTTTAAATTTTTTATACGCGTTGAGTGAATGCTTTTAATTATATTCAGATTGAGTAAATCATTTTCGGATTATAGTAACAGAGAGTTGTTGAAAATAATAATATTATAAGCTTTATAATATGTATTCTTGAAATTCTCTATATATTATAGTCAATATTATTGATTGAGAGATGTTTCTGTGGAAGTATAAATTAATTACAGTCTGCAGATTATTTTTTAAGCACACACGTTACCATTAAATTTTGACATAAAATTTATTATTTATTATTCGTTGTTATTATTAATGAATTATTTATTAAAACATTTTAACTATAAATCGACGGCTATTATTCGGATTGCTTTACAAACTTGTTACTTTTAGGTGAAAAATTCTATTAAAAAAACTTAGATCTTAAAACATCTTATTTATCGATTAATAAAGCATCATTTAAATGTTATTTAATATTAAATCTCATAAAAAACGGAGAATGTTTCTGTGACAAAATGCTCCCATTTTTTGCAGAAAATATTCACATACAATATTCTAGCTACACAATATAGCCTAATTAGAAACTACAATTAATGACATGATTAATTGAATAAATTTATTCAAAATATTCATGTACGATGAATGATTCATGATCGAATTTCTGCAGTTCCACATTTTATTCATCAATAATATCATCGATTATGCATAAATATCAATTCATTATACACCTCGCATATCTTTTTAGAATACATTTGTATCACTTTGCAAATTTTCTCGTGTAAAATTGTATATTCGCGCAGTTTTCAGTTATCATAATAAAAATACGGTAAATTTACTTACCTGTTAAAAAGTCAGCAATACGAGATGTCGACAGAGGAACAATCGATGACGATTATGAGATGACTATTGACTCGATCACCGCCGATCGCGCGAAACACTCTTAACACTTAATGGTACAGATATACACCTGAGACGCGCCAATCTGCGACTGAGTAGTAAACGTCAAGGTATCACGGCATGTGGCCGTTTCCCGGAATCACGTTCCCCACCTTTTGCGAACCGCAGTGATTGGGAGCATCTGAAACGCAAGCGCCTGTGAGTTGCTTACCTTGCATGCAAAGTCAGAGCAGTCGTCACGAATGATATATGAGAACTTGCAAAAGCAAGACTCCGAAATTAGTAACAGTTTCTTATGCAGTATAAATTTGTAGTTAAATATACATATAAATTTATAATAAATATTAATAAAATATTTATCACGATATTTTATATCTTTAAAATTTAAATAGCGATTATTTAAATTTAAATAGGATTTATAAATTATAGATTTATCTTAATCTTGCATTAAACTCTTGATATGGATATATATTGAATTTTTAAAATTATTTCTGAAATAAATCAATATTAAAAAAACATATTTTAGAATTCTTGCTAACAATTATATACAACGATGATCTCTAAATTTATCTCACACAAATACTGATAAATAGAATAAATGTTAATTACACATCAAAAATTTAGTCGAGAATGTAATGCAATTCATTTACAAACACTTTAATTTATTTCAATTAACTTTAGACTTTCATGAATCAATTAAAATTAAAGTCTCAAATTCAGAATTTAAAAATATATCACGGATAGAATCGTCAATTCTATCAAATTTTTCGAGCATTAAAAAATAATTATTTTTTAAACTTTCTTATTCTTAACCAAAATATATTTTCTCTAAGACGTGAAGTTTTGACTAAATCTCTCTTCATTACTTATGCTACGGTCCAGTTAACAGACACTCGTCAGCAAAGAAAAAGCAGGTAACAATACAACGGACAATTAATCTTATCGCTAGACAGCTGTGTATAAGTTATGAATTTTTACCTGTGTTATTCGCTATGGCGTAAGTTTCTACTTTTAACTTTATTTTTCTTTCTCGATGGCCAGAACATTAAACTGGCAAAGTCAAGAATGGATATTGGGAACATAAATGTGCGTAGGTTGCGAAATCATGTATGACCAATAATGGAGCTGAGAGGACACATTGAAGTAGCCAAATCTGACGCCGCACGAGCCGTCATTCTATAAATCATAAATATAAAAGCTGTATTTCTATCTTTTTCATCAGAATAAATAGACAAGAGGATGTATTTCATATATTCGTATAGTAGCAAAATTATATTATAAATATCTACTTAAAATTCTGAGAAAGTAAAGTCTGATATAATTGTCATTAAAATTTTAATCGCTTATCATTGGAGAATTATTATTGCTTCAACATTATAATGAAGAAAATATTGTTTAGTGCAAAATAGATCGATCTGTCATTAAAATTAAAGTGAAAAATTTCGCTATTCTCTATGAATATGGTATTATTTAGTACTTTTAATATATATATATACTATTTAAAAAAAATAATATACCCATAAGTTTCGCCTGCAATTCCATTTACTAGAAAAATTAAATTTCGAAAATCCCATCTTTCTTCGCGACTCATGTCGCATTTGCGTAACAACACAGGAATGATCCACGAGGCTGAAGGATCTTCTATCCGTAAAACAGAACCGGTTGAGCATTGTATATCAGCGTGAAAAGAGGCAGTGTTGCGAGCCGAGAGAACGTTGGACATTTGATCGCCGGCCCCTCTCTCGCTCCTCGTCACCGACGCAAGTGGGTATCAAGTCAGCAGAGTCGACTCAATTGGCTGGCTGGTACGATACATATTAAGCACGAAGAATGTCTACTTACACGCATTATTAATTCCAGGTATGTCAGTTTATTAATTCACCGCGTGCGTGACGTGTCTATCTCGATGAATCGCTAAGTGCATATGCGTGTAAATTGCGAATGTAGAACGTTCTTTTGCCGATAGAATCTTGAATTCCCTCTTGTGAGATAAATGCGACATCATCCGCTTTCATCTGTTCCGCGCAGCTTCCCGATGTACGTCGATTGCGTTCGATTAGTGCCGCAATAATTAACGGAAAGAAGAGGCTTTCCTAAAAAAAGGTACATAAACAGTTATTTACAAATATATGTTGTGCAGGATGTATTTTTTTAAAACGATCTATACGAATATTATGAAAATTATTGGTGACAATAAAGAATAAAATTAACGTTGAAGAAAATTGAAGCATGTGTTGAAAGAATCAATCAGTTATCAATCAATTGTGAAATGAGAAATTCTGAGAAATCTATCCCACTTTCTCAATTTTTCCTCTGCATTTTTTTCAATTAACAATTGCGAAAAGCAAGAATTATTCTGCTGACGATTCTGGGCGTGTTTCGAACGCATAATTCATTAGAATTAATTCGAACGACAGGAAGCGCTCATCCGGACCTTTGTCGCGAGATATCACGAGCGACCTGATTGCATTCCACAAATGAAAAGTCGATCCGATGTATTGTAAGGTGATATTGTGATAAGATAGTGCGAAATTACAAAGAGCTTTTGTTGTGCGATTGAAATAATACGGTGAACGGTTTAATTAAAACTTCAATAAACTGTGACGATGAGATCACGATCAGGGTCGTCAGTGGCGAAGGATATCCACCCACGTACTGTAGCAGACAGTGCGAGTGTGCAACACACGAACGAATCTGTCATTTTTTGTTTCTACCCATCTTTTATACGTCTGATTCCACGAGAAGCTTCTAACGCATAAACATGGAACGGAAATTCGCGCAACAAAAACCAAGGTTTATAATAATTGTCTACTTTTTTTTTTAAGTAAACCGATATTGAATAATCAAATAATAACAGTATCCATTCCTTATACTTATTCAGCTTTAAAAAATGTAATGTGATTGTGTAAATTTTGCATGAATAACTTTGCAATGTTTTCACATTTTCTTTGAAATTTAATTTTCAGAAAAATACACACACACGCATTATCTAAAAGATAAGAAAATTTTAATATAACTAAAAAGATTTAGTTAAAGATGGCAATTATTATTTTTTATTACATCTTGTCTTGTAAAAAATATTACAAAATACATTCCGCATATCTTTAACAGTAAAGCAACTTAAAAATATTTGCAATTACTTATCCTTTTGTTGTTAAAAATTGTTATAAATAAAAATAAATTCTGGATACTCTTCGTTACTATTTACTTTCACAAAAATGCTTTTTTCTAAGAAAGCATAATTAGCTCTTCTGACACATATTTCTAAAAATATGTTTTTTTTTTCAAAACTAATCGAGTCAACATCAATATTCTAACAATAAGTTTATTTTACCTTCAGACATACCATGGATCTCGAAGAGGATTTACCGCAGGAGTTTCTGCTGAATGTCTACGACGCTTCTCCGACCAGTACGAAAATTCTTTATAATATTCTGCTGGATGCTCTACAATCCAGGGATTTTCGTTCCTTCAAAAACGCCATAGAGCAGAACTTGAAAAAGCAGCCTCCTACTCTGGATATCAACTATGTTTTTCCCAACGGTTCAGAAGAAACGTGTCTCGATATTGCCAGCAGAAACGGCCTGACGGAGTTCGTGAAATTACTATTGCGCAACGGGGCGAGACCCAACAGGGTTAACGAGGCGCACAATCGCGCTCCTATTCATTCGCCACCGAAGATGGACATGTGGACACGCTGGAGGCTTTGCTGGCGGAGCCGACGATAAATCCGAATCTCGAGGCGGGGCAGCAGACCGCCTTGCACATCGCGGTGAAGAAAAGGGACTTCGAATGTGCTGGTTTGTTGTTAAAGAAAGGCGCCAGCGCCAGTATTCCCAACAGCAAGGGCATGACCGCCCTTCATCTGGCGGCGAAGAAGAGTCAAGTTGACATGGTAAAATTAATACTGGACAATTGCCAACAGTCTCCAGACCTGGACAGTTACAGAGATTACAGTTATAAGACGACGCGTGAGGTGATCCAGCAAATAATGCCGGATCTGCCGTTGCCGCCGAAGTGTGAAAATCGAGAGGCGAACGCGCACGATCTCAAGTATTACCTGATTGCCAACGACGAGGCGAACTTCCTAAAAAATCTGGAGCTCGTTAGGGTGGAGATTCTTCACGACGTGGCCGAGGATCTGTTGGAGATGGCCGCGCAACGCAATTTTCACGAGACAGTGTGCGGGATTCTGGAGAAACTCAGGGAGAAACTCACCCTGTTCAGCGTGAGAAAAGCCGCGCACACAGCCGTCCAGCAGGGTCATCACGCCATTCTTCGCGAATTACTGAACGTCGAGCCGAAGGTAGCCAATGATTTGATTCTGAACGCCTGCCTGGAGCTGGGAATGCCGGGGAAACGGGGAGTCGACAATACGCCCGATCGCCTGGAGTGTCTGAAGCTAATTCTGGAACAGAAAAACGTAGATGTTCGTTGCACTGACAGTAAGTATATCGCGAATGCGATATAAAGTGAGAGTAATAGCATATTTACCGGACAAGATATAAAAATACATTTAAAAAAATTAACTTCTTCTTGGCAAGTTGCACAATTGCAGATATTTTCAGATCCTTTCAAAAATATTCATATACTTCTGCATACACCTCTTATTATATATATGTTTCATTTTTATAGACAAAGGCAACACGCCGCTGCATTACGCGGCCAGGGCGGGCTGCCGCGAGGCGGTGACTCTGCTTCTCGATCGAGGCAGCTACATCGGCCACATGAACAAGTTCAACGTACCGCCCGTCGCGGACATCCCGACGTGCACGCTGTCGCGCTACTTCGACGACTGTCTGCAGATGCGGAAGGAACGGACGAACGAGTACACGATCGAGTTCAACTATCGCTGCCTGATGCCGCACAACGTTCTCCCGGAACACGACGACGCTTGCCGGTCGATGCGCGAGATGGATGTGTTCAAGTACATCGCCCGCAACAGCGGTCTCAAGTGTCTGCTCAAGCACCCGCTGCTCTCGTCCTTCCTGTACTTCAAGTGGTACAGAATACGGCACCTTCTTCTCGCGAACTTCCTCTTCTACCTGACCTTCTATATTCTGCTGAACGCTTACATCCTGAGCGCGACTTACGACGGTCCTGCGAGCGAAAACGGCAACGGAACGCAGGCGTCTAATAATAGTTTCGGCGCTTTGGGAAGTTCTCTGCGAATCGCCTGGTACGAGGACAGCGTTCTGTGGGCCTTCACCATCGTGCTGCTGCTGCTCTTCGCCCTCCGCGAGTTACTGCAGTTCGTTTCCAGCCCTTGGCACTACCTGAAGGATCTCGGGAATTGGTTGGAAGCCGCGCTGATCGTGTTGACCTTCGCTCTGCTGTGCGGCGCAGGGCCGCAAGTCGCTGCCGTGGCGATCCTCTTGTCCGCCTGGGAGCTGGTGATTCTGATCAGTCAACATCCGCGTATGTCAACCGGTATCGAAATGTTCCGGACGGTCTCCTTTAACTTCGCGCGTTTCCTCTTTCCGTACGCCTTCCTCATTCTCGCCTTCGCCCTGGCCTTCTACACGCTCTTCAAGGACGGCGACGACGCAAGCTTCCCCGATCCCGGTCGCTCGATCTTCAAGACCATCATCATGCTGACCGGCGAGTTCGATGCCAGCGATATCCCATTCGTCTCGCATCCCGTTTGGAGCCACATCGTATTCGTCCTGTTCGTCTTCCTTATCGCCATTGTGCTGTTCAATCTGCTCAACGGTCTGGCAGTCAGCGACACTGCCGAGATCTTGTGCAAAGCTGAACTGGTGGGACTCATTTCACGAATACGTATGGTCTCTTATATCGAGGATATAGCAGTCGGTAAGCCGTTCAGACCTTGCTGTGGCAATTCGTGCTCGATTCGATGGAATCCTTTCGGCTTCCTCGCCAGGAAAATTCTTCTGTTCCCGCATTACTTGAGGGACGGTAGAATTAGCGTCAAACCGTACGACTGTCCAGATGCTTACGATAACGACAGACGTTATGACAGCTATGTTCGCAATGAGTCCGTGAATCGCGACAAACGTTGGACCACGTTGGATCCTAAAATAATCAAACAAGCCAAACAGATTATTTGTGAAAAGAATCAACTATCGGACAATGAGAAAATAATAATCGTGTTGAAAAAGATGCAGGAGAAGTTGGAGACAATGGAAGTCACTCTAAATACCGTAAAGCTCGCAGTTGAAAATAATAATATTAATAATACGGTGGGATCTGTAATAGAAAATTAGTAAAAGATTTTAAACTCTGTTTTAAGTATTTTCTATTGTCTAAGACTTTGATTTTATAAGATAATTTTGCTATAAAATTACTCTCTATAATGATTTGTTATATAAAACTTAATTTTACGAAGAGTAATATAATAACTGATATAATACTGATAAACATATCTTAAATTTTATTGCGCTATACAGAGGCTTAAGCGTGTAAATATGTTATTAGCTCAATACAATCGAGACAGCTTATACTTAATTATTACACGATATACAAATAGATAGATATCATTACACAATTTATAACGTGCGTTTTCAATGCACTTAAAGGTGTTTTTATATTTTGTACTATTGTTTTAAGCAGACAAACAGTTTTTTTACTATTATGAATCTTTTTATAGCAATTATAACCTTCAATTATACTCATAATACAATTTAAATATATGTTACGAAAAAGATATTCTCAGAATGTATGCCTAAAACTTTTGCAAGATTTATTATTAAATTAATGTCCTAGATCTTACGTAGTTGTAAATGAATCAATGTGAACAAGACAATGTATTACTAGCCAGATACATCTTGCTGTGCAGTCTTCTCTTTTCCTCGACGTATCAGTGCGTCGGTGTAGAACATATTGAAGTCAAGCCTGATACAAACATGTATCATAATTAAAAAGTGAAAAGAAGTAGCAAAATCATGTTTAATAAAATTTACACAACAAATATATGCAGTATTTTATAAAAAAAAATTATACTTATAGACATAAACATTCACATAAACTGTCAGACATAAGTCTGTAAGCGTAAACTAGACTGAAATAAGTTGCGAATGCCAAAATTTGAATTTTCGATATTAGAACATAATTTATCAATGATTAATTAATTAATATATTAATATATATAAATTTAATTTAATTTGTATAATCATTATTCAAGAAAATAATTAACATAAAGTTATGTCCATAAATTGTAAACACTCTCATATAAAAATTATTTTGATTTTTGTAATATATATACAGTAAATTCTATTAATTTAATGTTAGATTTTACTATTTCTACGTATTCATTAAAAGCAGTTCTCCAAACTAGGTTTAAAAAATAAATGTGTTATCTTTGTTTAAAAATATATTAAATTATAAAACTTACCGACATAACACGTTAAGTAGCTTCTCATTGTTGTTATCACAACCCAAATCACAGATTCGGTCTAGAAGCCGTGTTAATACTTTAGTAAATCTTTTATCTAACGATACAATTGTTTCCTCGAAGCTCTCTGTCCCATCCTTTGCCGTAGAACCATTCTCCATCTAGGAAAAAATATAATTAAATGACATCATATAAACATGTTGCTCAATGCGTAAAATTAAAAAGCAATTGTGAAAAATTAATAGAAGTATGTTGTTACAGCTTAATAAATAACAATTATACCGATAAACTATTTTCAATTACGCATGCTTCTAAAATAATGCATTTTTTTTCTTTATTTTTTTAGAACAGACTATAAAATTATATTCTCTTTTTATCAATTCATTGCCTTTTTAAAATTAAACGCGACATAAATAATCATAGTTCTTGAGCAATTAATAATGTAATTACAAAAATATAACGCTTCAATATACTTTGCAGATATATAAATTTTCAATCTTTCTATGTGTTGAGATAATCATGATTTTACAAATAAATAACGTAACATATTTACGATACAATAATTGGTATTTAGTTGTATGAAGCATGCAAAAATATTATTGACAAGTCTATTCCTAATTTCGGAGAATGTCGATCTTCAGAATTATATTCAAAACTATATATATAAAATAGAAAATTTGCAACGTCTACAAGACTTTTTAGCAACTATATAAATGCTGTCCTACTTCTAAATACTCATTACAAGCTCATTCCATAAAAAATTGTTTAAAAATTATTATTCCACATAAATTGAGAGATAAATAAAAATAAATTCATAATCTATTTTGTCATACATATACTCTTAACAAAAAAATATAATAAAAAATTACGTTAAACTTAATATCAATCATGTTTACAAAAGCCTGTAACATTTGTAGATAATTTTTATACAGCAAAGAGAATACACACATAAAAACATATATACATATTATCAAGAAAATATAATGTACAATATTTTATACATAAATATATTGCCTGAAATATTTTCAATTTTTATACTTACTTTATCCTCATCAGACATCTTTGAAGATGTATGAATATATGAATGAATTATTAAGAAACATTTATACTTTTATGCTTGCAGAACGAAAATTTCAAAATCATTACATAACATTTAGAATACAGTCTTATACAGAAATGCAATGAAAAATGTTCAATTCTTTTTAAAACATATAAAAAAAAAACAATATATGCAATGTAATGCAATATAAAGTTCACAAATATCATTTCTCAAAGCATCTCTATGATATAAATATTTGTGGAATAGTTAGTAGTGTCATGCAAATTGGAAATATACATATATATATAGCAGTCACATGTTCTTAATAATATAATAATGATCTCTAAAAGATGCCTCTTTTGCAAAGGAACGCTTCATGATTCTAGAGCTACAAAGATGCATGTGGGCGAGCTTAAAGCTTTAACAGTATACCTCATATTCATAGACATCTTCCTGACAGGCACCGATCATGGATGTCAATTCAGCATCAATGTAGTAGCGGCTCATACACTTAACATTAGCAAAATAACATTAAAATTTAATAGACCGAAGTCTTATCCGACTGTTATCGACTTCTTTCCCGTCATATCGTTGTACTATTTATTAAATAATTTTATCTTTAAAATAATCGTAAAATATTGTGATCCAAAAAGATTTGATCTAGTTTAATTGTATGAAGAAATACGTAACAATCG